AGCCCAGCCCCCGTGTGTACCCCTCCCCACCGACAGCTCTGCGCGGGTCCGCAGGGCCGAGTGTCGGCGTTTGCAGCCTCCCACGAGGTATGCCTAGGTGCCCCTCCGTCCGGTCTGCTCTGCGGGGTGAGGAGGACGGGGCGGGTACAGCACCAACTCTGGAGTGGGGGGAACCAGAAAACGAGAGGTCGCGAGTGGCAGGAAGAGGTCAGGACCCCAGACGGGATCCCCAAGCTGCGTGAGCCCCGTGATCGGCAATTACGGTTTCCTTGGGAGGAGGGTGGCGCCAGACGGAGCCAGGCTGGGAATCCCGACGGCCGGCTCCTGGTCCTGCTCAGACCCTGGACTGATTCGCGGCCTCAGGCAACTTGCTTAGTCTCTGCATTTGGCTTTTGACGTGGAATGCAAGGGCTGGACTGAAGATAGCTGATCCTCCAGGACCTGGGACTGTCGGGCCTTTCGAGGCCACTATTGCACCTGTGTTTACACCGTCACCCTCAAGTGACTCATTTGCTGAGATCGAACGGGTTCGAGAGAGTCGTCAGGCCAAAAGCCTTTTCACCTTCCACCGAGCTTAGGCAGCCTTAGGCCCAGTCAGCCCCTTCCCTTCCCTTCCCTTCCCTTCCCTTCCCTTCCCTTCCCTTCCCTGCCTACGACAGGATCACACCTTGACCTGGGTGTGCCTCAGGCCGCCAGCGGCGGCTCAAACCTTTCTCCTGCCGGGATTGGAGGAATGTGGTGAGGATGGAACAGGAAAAAGACCCGGAAAAACACCTGCGGCCTCCTCTCTGCTCCAGGCCTCCCGGGGAGACGGTGCATTGTAATTCCAATCAGGGTCCGCACCGGGCTGAGAAAGTTGGGCTGGTTCCTGCTCCTCCCTGTGTTGACTTAGCTGCACTTAGAGGGAGAGCGAGGGAGAAGACAGGTGTTTTAGGTTTGGCTTCTGTGAAAAAAGGAAACACGTGGAAGGGACAGGGAGGATACTTCCTGCTGCTCCAATGTCTAGGGTTTCTCCTGAGTATGAATAGAATTTGGGGGAAAGCGTAGGGATGGAGTGGAACAAATATTTCTTAAGTACCTACCCGGTGCCAAGCAACGCCATATGAGAGACATCATCCCCATTTTATAGAAGTAAACTGAGATGCAAAGCCCACAGCTGGAAAAGATGGAGTTGGAACCCAGAGCTATCTTGGCTCCACAGATGGGCAGTTCCACTCTACCACAGTGCCCTCTCAGAGTCCTGGGGGTCCAGCCCAATTATCCTTTCTTTCCAAAGCGAGGGAAAACCATCTGACCAAACAGGAAAGAAAAAGTGGCTCGGCTCCATCAGCGTCCAGCAAAGCTGAAGGGTCCAGCCCATTCATCGACCAACACCCAGGAGGCAGGTGGGTACAAAGTGGTCTGTGCTGGAGACATACATGACATCAGCAGGTGCATGCAATTCAGTTACAACGTGAGAGGGCAAATCCGAACGTTTGAGATGTTCTGGGTGCCCATGATTCTCCCTCTGTGAGGCCCCAGTGGGGATGCCCACCTGACAGGAATGATTACATGGGAAGCACTCGCCTTCCTTCCCACTTTATTTTCTTCCCGTCACCTAATTTATTCTTAATACAAGAACAGGCTAAAGAACGCAGCCATAAGAAGCAAGGGCTCGCTTGTGCTACAAGATTGGTGGTTCCGTGGCAAGGAACAGCACTTGAAGGGTTAATTCGGTCTTTCTGCAAAATAAACTGTTCTCAAGTGTTTTGCTGGGCTCACACAAAATAAATGCATTAAACTGTAGTTGCTGACATATAATGTGCATCCTTTTTATGCCAGCAACTTGGCCTTAGGATGGCTTCATCTTGCCTAATGAAAAGAATTTAAAAAAAAAAAAAAAACACTTCAGAAGGCTCCCTTAGATCCACATGAAATGCCCGTTTTCTTAGGCAGTGCTCCACCAGTGACCGTTAAGTATGTTATCTCCTCAGTGAAGCTATGGGAAGCTCATGCATTTTAATAAACAAGCCTCGCTTGAACTTCCCAACTGCACCCTGCAATGCAGTGCAATTTGTGTATCCACAGCATCCAGCTTCTACCTGCTTATCAGTTCATTTTTCAGGACACTTTTCCCTGCAGGGCTTGGGATCCCTGATACAGATCAGATCTTGAAGAAGAGTGATTCCCTTCAGGGTTTTAGTCCATGAGCACCATACTGTACACGAGATCAGTTAAATTTCAGGAAGTAAGGACACAGGCTGGGACAGGTAGGGCTCAGGGGTGGGGAAGGTAACAAGGGCAGAATGAGGAAGTGCATAGCGTTATGTTAGGCACACACAGCTTAACAACCACATTTCAGTCATTGACGGACCACCTATATGAGTGTGGTCCCATCCTATATAATAAAAGGCTAATATGCAAATTGCCCCCTCAATCCGGAGTTCGACCAGGGGGCGGTGCCAGCCTGCCAACTGCCTGCAGCTCCCCCCCCACCCCCTGCTGTACTATTTATTGTTATTTTAGAGTGTAGTCTTTCTACTCTAAAAAATGTTTGCTGTAAAACAGTATATCATATTATGCCTCATAGACCTGGTATTTCCCAATGGGCTCTTGATTGCATCATTTTCTCTTGCATTTGATTTAATCTCGCGTTGTTTTGTACAGTAACCTGCTGTACAGGCTTGTAGCTTGGGACCAGTGAGCTACACCACATAGACTGAGTGTGTAGGCTGTAGCATCTAGGTTTGTGTAAGTGCACTCTGGGGTGTTCGCACAATGATGAAATCACCCAACAGCACATTTCTCAGACTCTATCAACATTGTTAAGTGGCTCATGACTGTACTTAGGGTATTTGAGGTGTTCGACAGCGTGAGGATTGGACCAAAGTGATCCCATGCATGACATGTCCCCAGTCGGAGCACAGACCTCAAAAACCAGAGAAAGGCCTCTCACCTCAAAGTGAGAAAGGTGGTCAATTTTAGGCAGCAAACATGTATGGAGTGTCTTCTACATATGAAGCCCTGGATGAGGTCCTACAGGGAGAAAAAGAAACATGAATACACCACCAA